AAAAAAAAGACGTTTCATTACATAATCCATTTTTCTTTAATTTGAATGCTATGTTCTGTTTAAGACAAAAAGATAACACCAAATGTTTCAGTTTGATCCATTTATTATTGCTGCCATTTATGGGTACACTTGCCTGATTCTCTTCCTTAAGTCCCAATGATACTTTTGTATGTGCAACACTTGTCCATCTCTAGTTTCCTTGTGCTGAAATGTTTAGCATAGGAATGTGAGGTATCTCTCAGGAAACAGAGTGGCAATGTGCAGGATAAAATGTTTGGGAGCTCATGAAATTCTTTGTGAAGTGCCACTAGATACAGTACTTTATTATATTTAGAGAGCTTAACATTTCAGATTTTACATAGAACAGAAAAAGAAAGGAAGCATGTGATTTACATAAAATTTAAGTGCAATTAAAACAAAAACGTATCTTAAACATTTATTGTACAAATTTAGCAAAGTGTTCAGATGAGCTGCAAAACCTTGGAAATTGTTGTAATAAGGTTTTTTTTGTTCTTTTCCCTTATTTTCCATATTTCTCTGCTTGTATTATGTGTAATCAGCTTGCAGCCAAAGAACAAGTGGTGATAAACAAGGACCAAAAGAACCTCAAAAGGTGACAGTGAAGAAAAAAGAATTAGGAAAAGCAAAAGTTCAAACATTAAAATTCTGACTAAGATGAGATGAAACCAACTTAAACCTGGTAAATTGATTTACAAGAAAACTAGGCACTTATTGCTCTTTAGTTTTATATCCAATAACTGCATCAAACCTAACGTTAATCTTTCGTTTTAAAACCACCAGGAAACGCTCAGGAAGGATCCTAAAAGAAAGATACGTGAACATAATTAGGAAATTAATATTAAGTGCACTTGTAAAATACCTTCTTTTAAAATACTTATATTTATCATGTATCACATCATGTTCATCTTANTTGTAAAATACCTTCTTTTAAAATACTTATATTTATCATGTATCACATCATGTTCATCTTATATAGGATTAAGAACTTTAACTCTGAGTTGCTACTATATATTCTTTACCATTAAATCCATTTTCTTTTCAAAAGGAAAAAAGGGGGGAAAAAAGTTTAGCCTACTAAGGGTAGGAGTAACCTGAAATATTTAGTTTTTGAAATAAACAAGCTATTATATTTTTCAAAAGATGTGCAGAACTAAATAGTTGAGACATTAAAGGCTTTAAAAAAGAAACATGACATTGAAAAGGAAGTGACAATAACAGCTAATTTTATACTTTATAATTATTATTATAAATTATAATATAATATTATATTATAACAGAACATTATTAAAATATTCCTCTAAGAGACTGGAGAATTAGAATTGCTAAATAAAAACGCAGATAACACATTTGGTTTTGAGCATAATGCCGAACAAGTTATGTAACCTTTGAATTTAAATCCCTCATGTGTAAATGGAAAAATTAACACGTATCCCACAGTGTTATTAGGTGGAATCAATGTGTTGATATAAAATGCCTTGAACAGTGATGGACACTAGTAGGTCTCATCTTTTTTTCTTCAGACTCTATACTTAAGAATATTTAGGAATTTGTCACATTCCAATGGGTCTCAGAAAAACTAAGCAGAATATGTAAGTCAGTGTAACAATGCACAAGATCTACCTGATAGCATTAAAAGAGGGTTCGGAAATTGAACACCAAACACTCATAATCAGAGGGAATTAGGGCAATGGTAATAACAGTAGTCATGGAATCTAAAATTTATTGAGTACTTACAGCGTACTGAATACTTTCAATGCATTATTTTATTTATTCCTCTCAGCCCTATAAAGTCCTATTTTTGTCTCCATGTTATAGATGAAGAAACTGAGTTTCCAAGAAGTTAAATAATTCATTCGGTGTTCAAGTTGCAAGCACATCACACAAACAGCTTCATTCAACTCCAGAGCACAAACTTTGAGTGTCTATGTTAAAGGTCTAGGAACTAGAATTAATTTGTTCAATCAGCAAACATTCCATTTAATTGCACTTTATCAACTGTCTGATCTTAAATATGAGTAAAAACATGTACTAGATCAAATTCACTTCTAGTGCTGACAAGCATAACTGCCGCTTACCTTTCCAATACTGTTAAAACAGCTACAGAAGATGGAACAAAAATCATTTTCTGCTCAGTCAGGATCCCATTCATCAGCCTGCTAACCACTTGCTCAGGTTCCAGAGTGGGTCCCAAACTGAAATCAGAGATAGTCTTCAGAAACAAAAACGTCTCACTGAGGTTTCATTGTTACTTGGGTGTTAAACAAACAAGTTAAGTTACCATCAGAATCATATCATAGCT